CCTGAGGCAGGCTCACTGGACAGGTCATTAATCAGCAAGTATGCATAATTTCTGGGCAGAGAGAGGGTTCTCCCAGGAATTTTGCAAACAAAATATGTTCTTTACCCTTATCGAAATATATCAGATTTATCTTCTGGGACACAATGGGACAAGGTGCCTTGTGATTTACTTCAGAACAATAGAAGGCAGACAGGGTTGGTTAACTTTATCTTTTGCTTAAGAGAAGGGAAGACAGTTACTTGGTAGTGACAGGGGACCCTCATGGCCATAATGGGGATTTGACCAAGTAGCTCTTTGAACTGGCATGAATCTCAACTCAGCCAGCTTGATTTGGGGGCTCTACTCCGGGCCAGTGGGCTGGGGGATGGGGGTGACAGGGGTATTATGTGAAAAGAACTGTTTCTATTCTCACCACCAAGGGGAGGTGGGAAAGGGACAATTACCAGGAAGAGAGGTGGCCCAGGGAAGAGGAAACTATTTCCTGGCTTCTTCTCAGTGCTCCAGATCCTAGAGGCCTCTGTAGCAACAAAATTACACCGTTCATTATAAGCCTGCCTCTGACAGGATGTGATGGGAGTAGGGAACTATGTATGTAATATTCAGAAAAGCTGACACAGCCACTCCTCATTGAAATGAAGCAGAAAATGTTAAATCACACACAAGCAGAACAAAATCACTGGGTCTGAATTCCTGCCTGTCAACAAACAGCTGGGGCCCAGCAGCTCTGGCTGCCCCATGAGGGCTGACATCCTGCTCTGCTTCTACTTCTTTAGTTTTTTTAACCCTACCCTCCAGGTTTGCCTACAAGCTTTACTGTTCAGTAGCTGAGTCTTTGGGCAAGGGTTTTAGCCTTTATCTGCAAAGTGGGAGTGATGATTGCATGGGGGTACTAGGGGGATAACCTGAGACAATTTCAAGAGGTTAAATCCTATTATCATCATCATAGTTTCCATTTTATAGTAGAAGAAACTGAGGCACAGAGAGGCTCCATAGCTTGACCAAGGGCATAGCTAGCAAGTGGCAGAGCAGGGACTCAAACCCAGGCAGCTGGGCTCCAAGCCCATACTCTTCACCACCTCTCTAGCTGCTTTTGAGTGTTAGGCAGACATTTTGTAAGTTGTAGAAAAACTCAATGCACCCCTAAGGGATAGTTATAATTCTGGGAAGGCATAAACCACGCACCTTAGCTCTGCCCCAGGTCAGAGCTGGAAGATGAAAAGCAGCCCTGGTACCCCCTCTCCCGCCTCCGGCCATCGCAGGCAAGCACCTGGCAGAGCAGAATTCTACTCTGGAGTTCCAGGACCTTCATGATGGGTAGGTAGCTATGGAGTCCTAGAACTGATGGCTTTTTGCCCTGCTTCCCCTTCCTCCTGCAGATGGTCTAGTGCCATGATTAAAAACAGACTCTGGAGCCAGACTGACTCTGGATCTGGTTCTGCCTCACTTGTGAAATGGGTACTGGCTACCAACTAGTGCTTGTTGTATGAAATGAGTTAGTACATGTGAATGCATAGCACAGTGTCTGGCATGTAGTAAGTGCTAAGTGAGTGTCAGCTATCACTTGTAACTATTCCCTCACCTTCTCAGCTCTATATCTTCCTTCCACCCAAAGTTCCCCAACATCCTGATTCTTTTATTTTTGATCAATTCTCACCTTGGAATTAGGGGCATAACCTTATCTTTAGACAGCAAAGCTGATCCAAAGGTAGAAGCAATAATGGGGGATCTCAGGCTTTACAGCAGGTTCTTGAGAAGTCTTTGCGGGGGCAACCACTCTCCTGGGAACTCTAACTTTGCCCAAGTGAGTGCCATTTTACTACACTTGCCTCTGGAATCTGGAAGGAAGACAGAGGGCTAGTGGCAGCACCTACTCTTGGGGAGATGGAGAAGGAGCTCCAATGGCTTCTTTTATCTCTCTTTCCCTCTCCTAGAGCCCTCTCTCCTCACTCATTTTAGGCCCCGCATATCCCCTCTCACCTCTCCCTCCCAGGACTCAGGTGACATGTTCTGTTGGCTAGGAAAACATTGAATTTCACACAAGATCAACGGCTCTTGACCTAGTGAACCACTCACTGGGTCTACAATGCAAACCTGAGAGCCAGCACAGCAGGAGGAGCAGCCTGAAGGCAGAGGCTTTGCTGGTGTTGGGACCCCTGGGTCCTATCCTGGCTGTTCCAAGGGGAAAAGCAATTATGGAGGTGAAACATGGTGAGGGGGCTGGACTAGGGTGGAGACAGAGATGGGGAGATGGGATCAGAGCACTGCCCCAGGGCCTGGGACTCAGTCTAAGGGAGGAGGTGCTTGGCCTGAGAAGGGACTCCTGTGTCACACAGAACTCTCTCCCAGGCCACGTTCTGCTCCAGACATCATTGCATAGCAGTGTTAAGTTTACAAAGAACTCGGATAGCCATAGTGCCACTCAGCCTCCAGGAGAGCCTTATAAAGTGTTGACTGCTCCTATGCCCAGGATCAAAGACTTGAAAACAATCTTAGAAATTTTGTCACTCATGCATCCATTTAACAAGAAACAAATGAATTCAGCTCTCCTGAGTCAAGGTCTTTCCATATATTTACTCCAAGTCCTGATTCCCTCTCCTCCTAAATTTGCCTCCCAAACCTTCCCCTTCTGTTGTGGTTTTGAAATGTCTACAAATTCTTTGATACTGCTGTTCCCTTCAAGAAATGGAACCAAATTCCCCTTCAGAGGAGGCTGGGCCATAGGTAGTGTGGCTTCCTGCTTGCTTGCTTGCACTCTCTCTTGCTCTCTCGCTCGCTTGCGCGCTCTCTCTCTTCTCTCTCTCTCTCT